GTTAGGTATTACATTAAACATCTCTCCTTGAAGTTTCTTCAACCGGTTTCTAAGTACCTTACTGTTTTGTTCAATGAGTCTTTTCTTAAACTGTATGAAACAATTTATAAAAWAAAAAATATTAATAATATTTATTATTACAACAAATAATTTAGATATAGTCTATTCAAAATAAAAGCAGTTTTGGATGGTTGTCTGGTGCTTCCATCAAGTGGACACCCAATATATAGCTTCTAAACAAAGCCACGTCCATGTGCATAAGTTGGCCATACAATACCACTCTTATTCTGAGTAAACTTTAGATATAGCAATAATTATACTAGTATTAACAGTAACCAAAAAAATTACTTACTTTTTTTTTTGGTACTATACCCGGTCCTTTTCTTTTTAGTGATTGGTTTGTTAACCTTTCAGGAGAGTGATGTTCAGTAGATTTCTAAAAAAAAAATATTTTATTTTATCTGTTTAAAAAAAAAAATTTATTTTGATATATTTTAAGCCAACATTAACAATTATACTCATATAATAGTACCTTAAACTGATTTTGTAGTTCTTGTGGATTTGTTGAATGCTGAGGTAGCTCCGTTAATGGTTCAACTCTAATCTGTTGATCTTGTAAATTTATTGTATATTGTTGTTGTTCAATCATTTGTTGTGGTTCTACATGTTTAGGCTCTATATCAAAATTTATTAATTGTTGTTCAAAATCATTTTTAGGTAAAAGAGATTTGTCCATGAGAACATCTTTATTGATAGCTGATAACTYTTCAATTGGTTGAATAAATAACTAGAAAAAATAATATACTTATAATAATAAATCAACAAAATCAAAATTTCGAATTTACAACTTGTAGTTGATCTAAATCTTGTATTTTATAAACATCACCAATATTTTCTTCAGTATTCAAACTTAGTATATTTCGACTATGTAGGATTGGAGCATTGAAATCCTATATAAAATAATAGGCATTAAAGTATTGAAAATTGTATATAATACCTAAGGAACAATAATTATATCTTAATTACTCGTCTTAGTAMAAGATAGCAAAAGTTATTTATCATTATTTTGAATTTTAAATAGCTTATTGATAATTATTAGCACATAAAACTTCTCATACAATTAAGAGGATGTCGCACCTGCATGTATGGTTTCCATCTTACAAGTGTGTAACTTAACAAAGATTACACTCAGAAGATCACATTGACACATTATTTAAAAAMTTAAAATKAATTGATTTCTTATAAAATTTAAAGGTAAGATTATTATCTAATCAATGTCATAGAMTTTATATTATRTTTTAATCTTAAAGGGAGTTATAAGCATTTTAAGATGTAACTACAAACAATTAAGAATTTTAAAATATTCACAAATCGCTTTAAAATTAAAATATAGGTAATAAAAAGCTTATGCCATTGGCTAGATAATAATCTTGATTTTAAATTGTATAATAAATCATTTCATTCTAATTTTTTAACCAATGTGATAAGCGTAAACTTGGTTATGTTACACACAAATAAGACATAAATGACACATGGGGGTGCGACGTCTCTTAATATTTTAAATATATATATAATAAATATGATATGGATCGTATAAAACATTTAATTGACTCAGTAACGTCTAAAATATGGTTATTTTTTTGGAACTAATGCCCTACTTCATAAAATATTAAAATATACTTACTGTTTGGCTTAGAACATTTGTTTCGGGTAGTTTCATTTCTGTAGCATTTAAAGTGTGTTTTGGATTATTCTAAATAAATTAATATTTTGAAAAACAAAACACAAAATTAAGTTAGCCATTTTTATACAAATATATTTTTAACATGAAACCAATTAACAATGTACCTATTGTTTTATAATAACTTAGTATTTGTTCAATATGTTTAGTTATTTACAAAAAATATTACTAAAAGTGTCAAACATTTTTTTTTTTTTGTAATGTTTCATACAATTTTAATTTTATTTTTTCATATGATTCTTGCATTGAATATTGGTACTAACTAAAATATACTATTAATATTTTATGACATACTTTTGAATCAGCTTTATGGACGAAAATCAAATATAAATAACTTATTAACTATTAAACTAGTAATCCCATTAATTCACTACTTATAAAAAAAAAACTACTTAAATATGTATGCTAATAGTTCTCTTTTTATAAATTCCATATTAAATAGTTTAATGCTTTTAAAATAATTATGATTTACTGATTATTACAGTGAAACTTCCATATAACGAACTTCCATTTAACGAAATTTTCTGTTTAACGAAATATTTTTAAGAACTATGACCTTCATTGTTAATTACACGTAAATGTATCTCCAAATAACGAATCTGATGTTTCTATATAACAAAATAATTATTCGATAAAAACCAGTTTTTGTAAATGTTGTCACTATCAAATTGATAGTTTATGTCATAGTTCTAAAATTGTACATGAACAATGTACCCGACAAAGATAAGACACCGAAKGTAGGCAAACTGATTAATTTTACTGTAGTACACTTCAGTYCCAATATTGGTGCAAACGAGTATACATTCTTGGTTTTAGACAAGAAGCAAATGTTCCCGATGAAWTTTTTTTTAAACTTGACTATATAGAAACTTTTYACGAAAGAAGRACAATTTTCAAAAATAATAAGCAAACAAAACTTACTGATTATTTCTTTTAAATTATATTTAAGGTTAAAAATTAAATTAAACTGTAATATGATGTTTGATGTTGTTTTTACATACATACAATATACATAATAAAAAAATAATAAAAAAAAAGTT